AAAAAAAAAAAAAAAACAGATAGTTATCCTTCTGTGTCTGTTTCCTTATCTGTAAAATGGGACTAATAGAACCTATCTCATAGAGTTGTGAGAATTAAGTGAGTTCAGGTATGTAAAGCGCCTAGATCAGTGGCCAGCATGGAGTAAGCTCTAGGTGTCTTTGCTGTTTCTTCTCATGCTCCCCAACTAGTATAGGACCAATTTTCACACAGTTCCATGTTGACACTGTTTGGAATTGTTAAAGAAGAGATAGAGGGGATTGAGCAGCAGGCATGAGAGTGCCTGCCAGCCCCTGATTCACCTGGTACTCTCTCATAGACAGAGGGAGTAAGCCCCCCGTTCACAGCTCGAGTGCCCAGCTCTGCCTCAGCCTATGATCAAAGAGGATTGGCCCCGGGTCAGGATTACCAGGTCACTGTCCGTGCCCTTCGAGGGACCAGCTGGGGTCCTCCCGCTTCTAAGACCATCACCACCAGTGAGAGCTGGGGCTGTGGGGGAGGGTCCCTGGGTAGAGACCTGGGTTTGAGAGGGGTAGTTGAGACTCTGTCTCTGAGAAGCAGAGGGGAGGGCTGCACAGGGGCTAGTCTGTTGGAGGGAAAGCTGATGGCCGAAGAACTAGATGCCAACCTGAGCCTCCTCTCTAACCTGGCTAGTGATCGATGGTCCGCAGGACCTCCGCGTGGTAGCTGTGACACCCACCACCCTGGAGCTCAGCTGGCTCCGCCCACAGGCTGAGGTTGACCGATTTGTGGTGTCCTACGTCAGTGCTGGCAACCAGAGGGTGCGGTTGGAAGTTCCCCCAGAGGCAGACGGGACGCTGCTGACTGACCTGATGCCAGGCGTGGAATATGTGGTGACTGTCACAGCAGAGAGAGGCCGGGCAGTCAGTTACCCGGCTTCCATCAGGGCCAATACAGGTATGGCTGTCCTTCCTTAGAAGGGCCCTGGTTGGGGGTCCTCTCCTCAAGTGTCCAGTTCTAAGGCTCATAGGCTCCTCTGAACACATTTGGCCTGGTGTGTGGCTATCTCAAAGCACCTGCTGGAGCCTTGCTCTGTTCTGAGGGCTCTGAGGAGACAGAGACATAGCCTTCAGGTACTTGGACCTACAGGAAGGCTACAGGATAGACTATGGAAGGAATTGCCCCAGCACTAGAAGCAGTAAATAGGAGCTGCTGTGGATCCACCCAGATGAGAGGGCTGTTTTTAACCTAACTTAGGTACAGAGATCAACAGTTCTGTTAACATTAGAATTGGGTTTGAGAGGAGTTGGGTCTCACAGCAGTAATTTTCCACTAAACCCTCAAGGTTTCTTAACAGATGCCCGGATCTTTCTCTTTTCCTGTGACAGGGGGACGCCCACTTCGCTATAGCTCACATCCCTTTTACCCACGCTCCTTCTCTCCATCAGATGCCGGCCTGCTGGCTTCTCTCTTCTTTCTAGGGCACCAACAGTGATGGGCTTGGAGGGGGGAGGGGATGGTCTGATGAATTGCTCTGGCTCTCTTTCCAGGTGGGGCTGGGGCACAGAAGCCTCTGGTGGGAGGGGTGCGGGAGGAGCCGCGGTGGCAAGGAGTGCAGGGCGGGGGGAGCTGCCACTGACCTGCTCTCCCCTCCCCTTTTTCGCCCCCGGCAGCACCAGGCCACTACAATTATCCGGAGGTGCGCCCCCCAGCCCCACCCCCCCAGCCCCGTCCCCGGCCTGCCCCGGATGCTCCGCCTCCGCGGCCCCCTCGGCCCTCGAGGCCAGCAGAGGAGGGCGAGGAGGAGTCGCACCCCCGGCCCGGCCCACCTCTGCCCCCTCGGCGGCCGTGGGGCAACCTGACTGCCGAACTGGGCCGCTTCCACGGCACGGTGCAGGACCTGGAGCGCCACCTGCGAGCTCGCAGCTACCCACTGCGGGCCAACCAGACCTACACGTCCGTGGCGCGCCAAATCCACGAATTCCTGAAGCGGCATCGGACCGCAGGCTCCCCGGCAACTCCGCCCCGTCGCCCCTACCCCACCGCCAGCCCCTCCCCGGGCAACAAGAAGCGGGACTCCAGCCAGGGCAACTATGGCCCTTCGCCCGAAGGCGTCAACGTGGTGGCTGTGCCCCGTCATCCCAAGCCTGAGGTCCTGGGCAGTTCTTCCGATGGCGCGCTACTCGTGTCTCTCGATGGGCTCCGCGGCCAGTTCGAGCGCGTGGTGCTGCGCTGGCGTCCCCAGCCACCCGCCGAGGGGCCCGGCGGGGAGCTGACTGTGCCCGGCACCACGCGCACCGTCAGCCTACCTGACCTCAGGCCCGGCACCACCTACCACGTGGAGGTCCACGGGGTGCGGGCGGGGCAGGCCTCCAAGTCCTACGCCTTCATCACCACCACAGGTAGCGTGGGTTGGGGCGGCGCGACCACCCATCCCCTGTCGAGCGAGCGTCACCTGCCTTTGGAGGCTGCAGCCATGAGTTTCCTCCCACTGCCTCACTGCTGCGCAGACTGCCACCCCCACCACACCCTTCTACCTTCAGGCCCTGCCTGCCTCAGGCTGAGGATACCGCATAGCATAGAACACCCTCAAGGGTCCCTGGAAGACACCCCTCTCCGGAGCCCCGGCATCATCCTGTGAATACCCAAAGTTGGGGAAACCTGGCCTTTGGGATTCTCTGGTTTACACGCGGTTCCTGCCTGAACTCCTTGGCCAGCATTGCTGTTCCAGGCAATGGAAAGAGCACTGGAGTCGGTGGGGTTGGGTCCTGCAAAGATTCACCCTGCAGTTTGAGGGGTGGGGTTGAGACCAGCAAATCCTACTCTGACTCACTGTGGTGAGGGTGGCTAAAGGCTGGGCTGTGGTTATTTCCCACGATTTGGCCTTGACCCTGAAGGGACACAATGAAACTGCTTAGGGGTGGTAGCATGTGTAGTGAGGGGTAAAACCACTGCTTCTTTTTTTTTGAACTCAGGAACTCATGATTCCTAGGCAGGTGCTCTACCACTTGAGCCGCTTCACCAGCAACAAAACCACTGCTTCTTGAGCTGTTTTTTCAGACCTGGCTCACTTCCTAACTGGTCTCTCCCACAGGAACCGTGTCCAGGCCTGGGGAAAGGGTGCTCTGAGTCTGTGGGCTGGGGTAAACCTCTTCTTCCATAGGGCGGAGAAGCTACCTGACCTGGATGTACACCCCTCACACCCTTTCTTTCCTCTCTTCTACTGCCCACTGTCCTCTTGCACTCTCCCTCCCTAACACCACTGTCCTCTCCTTTCTTCCAGGCTTCTCACTGCAACACTAATGGAAGGCGGACCACCACCCAGTTGGGGATACTGATGGGGAGGGACATGGAAGTCTCTAGGGGTTGTAGGTCATGGAAGCCTTGAGAGGGAGGGATGACAGGGTTTATTTATCTTATTGCCTGCTTTAAGCACAGGCCCATCTGCTCAGGAACGGGTTGGGGGGGGTTGGGGAAGTTGGGAGGATAGACAGACCAGGAGGTGGTGGAACCAAGAACAGAAAAGGGGAGCCTCAGAGGCTGATGGGCAGACCTGGGAGCTGGAGATTTCTTTCTGGCTCTCATACTTCACTCTCCTGTTTTTCTCTCTTTGCCTTCCCTCTTCCCAGGGTCCTCACCCTCTGGCCTGGAGGCCACTGATGAGCCTCCTCCCTCAGGCCCCTCAACGACCCAAGGGGCAGAGGCCCCTATTGTGCTTCAGCGCCCTCAGGAACTGGGAGAGTTGAGGGTGCTGGGCAGAGACGAGGCAGGGCGTCTCCGTGTGGCCTGGACTGCACAGCCCGACACCTTTGCCCACTTCCAGCTGCACCTGCAGGTGCCTGAGTGGCCAGGGGCACATGAAGAACTGCTGCCAGGAGATGTCCGCCAGGCTCTGGTGCCCCCACCTCCTCCTGGAGCTTCCTACACTCTGTTACTTCATGGGGTTCCCCCTGGGGGCAATCCCTCTGTTCCTATCACCTACCAAGGCATTATGGGTACATCCTGGACTCTTCTTTAACCAATGCCCTAAGATTGGAGGAGGGAGCTGGGATCATTGGATTTCAGAGATGTGGTTGGGTTTAATAGGCAGGGCTGATGTTTGGGGCTGGAAGATAGGAAAAAACAAAGAAGAAGATTTGTCAGTTCAGATGGAAGGAACCTTAGAACAATGAGGTGGGTGGGTAGTGAGGAGGAGAAAGTCAGAGGATGGGACAGGGATCCAAGGAGAGTTACTGTAGACCTTGGCTTACCACCTGTTGCTTTCCTTGCCTTGTGTCTCTCCTCCACTTCCAGGCTGCTCCCACTTCCTATCCTGCCCCATAGATTTCTCACGGTGGGCTTGGGGAGGCCTTTAGCCCTGAGGATACTGGCCCTCAGCCCCTAATACCTCCTTCATGGGAGTCTGTCTTCCAGAGACAGACCCTATGATCCTCAGTCAGTTTTTGCTAAAGATGGAGGCTCCTTTGATTGAGAGGCTCCACTGTCACCAGTACTTCAGAGATGGGTGACATTTGCAGGATCAGTGGAAGGACATGGCCTAGGATACTTCACTCTCACATTCCCCTTGGTCCTCTCTATGGGACCAGAGAGACGACTACCCCAATTCTAGCATAAGCTGACCACTGAGAGAAAGGGGAGAAAGAGAGCTGCTCAGGTGGGTGGAGGAGTCTTCAGATTTTTCTGAAGCAGCAGCAGGGAGGTTAGAAATTCTTGGGCAGTACCATAGGGAACCTGAAACTCTTCCCAAAATTCTGGTGTAGAGAGCAACTAAGACCTTTTGAGGAGTGGAGAAATTGTCAAAAGAGAGGGAACAGAGGCTAAGGGGGAAATGCAGTTTCCTAGGAAGGTTGGTCAGAGAGGACTGAGGATACGGATATGGAGGTGTTCAGAAGAGGGAAGGGGATAGGGAACAAGGGAATGGTTGACTTCACTATGCTTTGCTTTTGCACTTAAATCCCAGACAAGGATGAGGAGAAGCCTAGGAAGTTCCCAGGCCCTCCACGCCTAGGTGAGCTGACAGTGATGGGCATGACCTCTGACTCTCTGCTCCTGCACTGGACGGTTCCTGAGGGGGAGTTTGACTCCTTCCTGATCCAGTACAAGGATAAGGATGGGCCCCAAGTGATACCTGTGGAGGGGCCCCAGCGCTCGACTCCCATCACATCCTTGGAAACAGGCCGCAAGTACAAGTTTGTCCTGTATGGACTCACTGGCAAGAAGAGGCATGGCCCCTTGGTGGCTGAAGCCAAGATCCGTGAGTAACAGCGGGCACCTCCCATCTCTGCCCTATGCACAATCCTAAAGGAGGTTGGATCAGTGCTTTAAGGTCCAGGAAGGCTGACTGGACCATGGTGCTGCACTGAATCCTGAAGGGAAACAGTGTGGGCAGGCAGAGATGATGAGGAGGGCAGTATAGGCAAAGGGGGTAGCCCTGGGAGAATCCATGTCACTGTTTCATCCAGCTAGAGAGTGGGGTGTGTGGGGAGCTAAAGGACTGGTCTTTGGCTGCACATGCGAGCTGAGGGGCTTGGACCTCATTTGAAAGCCCTGAGGGGTTTTAAGTGGGAGAGTGACATGATTAGATATTTATCTTACAGATAGCACTGGCAAGACAGTGGTATGGTTGAGATGGTGCTATGGGGCTGGGTGAGGGATGGAAAGTGAGGAAGCCCAGGCCCTGGTTCCTGTAGCAGTCCTGCCCCCTAGGTGGGAGCAGCAGTGGAGAGCCACAAAGTGTGGGACACTTAGTTAAACACCTTTTAAGCATGCATTGAGTCACACGAGTTCCAGATGTTCTAAGGGAGTAAGATCCCACTTACTCCTTTAAGCAACCCTGTGAAGGATGCCTACTTCATGGGTGAGGAGAATTGAGGTACAGAGAAATTGCCCCGCAGAAGTGGTGGTGCCTCAGAGTTATGCTGCCACCCCAATGGATGTGGAGAGCAGAGAGATGGCCTGGAAAAGAGTGTGGGGGTTGTCTGTGCTGGTGGACAGGCTGAGGGTGTGAGGGGAGAAGAGATGGGGCCCCTAGATGCCTGGGGACAGCTAACAGAAGCAGGAGCAGAGGAAGAAGAGCCCACAGGGCAGCCTGAGGTGACTAGCACCTGGGAGAAAGGTGGTGTCCTGGACACTATGGAGGAGGGTGTGGCCAGTGGTATCATCTGAGTCCAGAAGAGTGATTCAAAGACTAGCAGTGTCCACAGGATTTAGCAATGGCCAGGTCACTGCTGGCCCATGAGAGCTGCCTAGTGGAAGTTGGAGCTGTGTTGGGGGAGGGGGGATCATGGCAGTGAGGACATGACTACAACTCATGCAGACGTTGCCTTCTGTTGTTTTGTTTTGTTTTGCTAGTACTGGGATTAATCTCAGGGCCTCATGTTTGCTAGGCAGGTGTTCTACTATTTGAGCCATTTCACCAGCAGACGTTGCTTTCTGGAATCGGGGCTAGACACAGAGAGCAAAGAGGGAAGATGGAGGGAGATGGTGGGGCTGGGGACAGGAGCATGTTTGGGAGTGAGGGACATAGGGTGGGGAGTGACAGGTGGGTGAGTGTGCTGAGGAAGATGACCCTGGGCACAGCAGTGGAAGGCTCTCCTACACTGACACACCCCAAAATCTGTACTCCTCTCTTGGTGGAGAATCGAGGTAGAAGTTAGACTTTGAAGCAGTGGAAGTTGCACCAGGGCAAGTTCTGGGTTATGGAGATGTGGAAAGGCCTGGCTGAACTCCCCCTCTTTCTGAGCCCCCTCCCCCTTGGTTGTGAATAGAGTTTATACCACACTACAGTGTTTTTGTACCAGTTAGAAAAAGGAACTCCTTCTTGTAGGTGAGCCAGGCTCCTCGGCAGGGCACATAGCTTGGCAAGCAGAGCACAGGCTGGATTTCAGTCCCTCTGTCCTCCCTCAGTCATGCACCTTTGTGCAGTGAGCAGCCTGCACAACCTTATATAGCATTCCTATATGGAAGATGACCTCCCATCTCTCTACCTCCTTTCCCTAGTGCCGCAGAGTGACCCCAGCCCAGGAACCCCACCCCGCCTGGGAAAGCTGTGGGTGACAGACCCTACCCCAGACTCTCTGCACCTCTCTTGGACTGTCCCTGAGGGCCAGTTCGACTCCTTCATGGTCCAATTCAGGGACAGGAATGGACGGCCACAGGTAGTACCTGTGGAAGGGCCTGAGCGCTCAGTCATTGTCTCCCCGCTGGACCCTAACCACAAGTACAGATTCACTCTGTTTGGGATTGCCAACAAGAAGCGATATGGCCCCCTCACAGCCGATGGCACTACTGGTGAGTGACTGACACCTAATCCCCCACGTGACCTGTTCCTGCCCTCTGTACCCTTACCCTCAGCCAGGAACCAGCTGGGGCCTTCCAGCAAGATGGCTGATTCCAGCATCCTGGCTCCACTCCCAGACTGAGGGGCAGCCAGCCTCCCCCACACTGCTGGGCCCTTTCCATCCTATTCAGCATTTCCCCAAGGCCCAGAAGGTGTGTCATACTTTGGCTGTGCCAGACTTCACAGGAGTT